TAAAGTTTGCTGGCGCTAGATGCACTCCACGCGTATTATGACATGGCGGTTAAAATAAAATTAATAATTTCCTAGCAAATTAAGACAAAATTGAATTACTTATTAGCATTAAAGCTAGATTGTAATTTTTTTATGATGTTGCCGTATGAGGTCACGTCATATAAAAAAAAAAAAAAAAAAAAATGGCGGTTAAAGGGTTAAGGGTCACAAGGCGTATACAATTCCCTAAGTGTTGCAAGCGTTCGTACGCCACGGTAAGCGCTTACTGAGTGTTTGTTAATTTTTTGATATAGTATTTGAAACCACTACTATTTGATTGTAATGAATTTGAATATATGGAGTTGATCTGATTATGGAGTCAAGAGACAGCCGAGGAAACTCCTCGAGGATTTGTAGCAATGACCCCGTGTTTGGGCTTAAATCATTTGTATTGCGAAGATCTTCACATCTAGATACGACTAGCGTGGCGTCGGCCAGAAGACGCATAAGCCTCAAGTTTTTTAAGTAGCATCTTAATTGTATCTCTAGTTTTCGGAAATGTTTATAATATTTGTATCATTTACTTATTCTTGTAACTAAAGGTTTCTAGTTAATACTAGTTTCTAGTTGATCCTTGCAATTAACTTGTTTAATGAACTGTACAATTTTAATAAGCTGTAACCACTGTGACAATTTTGATGCTCACCTATCAATTTTAAGTCTGTCACTATACGTGAGGACTTGTAATTGGCTTTCAGTATTTTATGTTGGCTTCTATTTTTATGTAGTTTTAGCTGTAAGTCCTCCAGGGTGTAATAAATAAATAAATAAATAAAATAAATAGATAGGATGTAATTGTCATTAAGGGCCTGATGGTGAAGTAGTACGATAGATAAGGGAACTCCTCAACGGTTAACAGTAGCTACCTGATGTTTGGGCTTGATTAATTTGTAGTGATGAGAACTTTTTACCCTAATGGGGTATGACTGTCATTAAGGACCTAATGATGAAGGAGTATGATAGCTAAGGGAGTTCCCGTTCCCGTTCAGCCGTTGAGGAGTTTCAACGGCTGACAGTAGCTACTTGGTGTTTGGGCTTTAACCCTTTAACCGCCATCACCTTAATATTACGTATTGTAAGCATATTACCCTACTCGCCAAGACGGAATATTGCGTAAAAGTCCTATCATTTGAAAGATGTTAAATAAATGTTGAATTTACTTACTAAATCTTAGTATATTTCGTGTTATTACTTTATTTTTAACAGTACTAGATATATAATTTAGCTAATTGAATGAAATAACTAATGATTCTCAGTTTACGATACATATAAATATCAACCTACTTCGCCAAACCCGTGATTTCACGCAGACTAGTGTTGTACCACATATGAAGTTCCTGATGCTAAATTAATAAAAAACATCCTGTTTTTTATCAAATTATCAACTAAATATTTACCTATTCTAATTTCATATTTATTAACGATTTTATTATTTATAGAAAACCCAAGCTTAAGTGTTATAATATGTAGAAATCAACAAAGCAATAAAAATTACCGACTTCTTCCAGAACGTCACTAGTGCAGGCGATCCGCGAACACCGGCACCTTAATTTTACGTACGGCTCAAGGTCAACTAAAGTCATATTTTAAATAAGCGTCAGTTGCGCTAACGCCATCGCCGTGATAAGACGTGCTTTTATATTATTAGGTCTAGGCTAGTGACGAGAAGTGGTCGATGATGTTATACAACGACAAAGAATTATTAACGATATTGCAACCATCAAACAATGATATTAGTAGTGGTAGCAGTTTAACAGATAGTGATAATGAATCGGTCAATTTTGTTTTTCTAGTCTGTTTATTTATCCTAAAGTTAAAAAGACAGCTAGCAAACAATAATATGTGTATTTACGTATTTATATTTATATTACGTATTTATTTTATATTTATTAAAGAAAAATTAAAGTTGATTTAGTTATTTTTATTTTCTTAATAATATAATTCTTAAGAAAGTAAACCTTTGATTAAAAATGAGTAAGTTTTATTTTTTTCATTAGTTTGTTTATCGATAACTATATTTTACAACATTATGCAAAATTGTACCGTTTGCTGGCTAGATGCACTCCACGCGTATTATGACATGGCGGTTAAAATAAAATTAATAATTTCCTAGCAAATTAAGACAAAATTGAATTACTTATTAGCATTAAAGCTAGATTGTAATTTTTTTATGATGTTGCCGTATGAGGTCACGTCATATAAAAAAAAAAAAAAAAAATGGCGGTTAAAGGGTTAAGGGTCACAAGGCGTATACAATTCCCTAAGTGTTGCAAGCGTTCGTACGCCACGGTAAGCGCTTACTGAGTGTTTGTTAATTTTTTGATATAGTATTTGAAACCACTACTATTTGATTGTAATGAATTTGAATATATGGAGTTGATCTGATTATGGAGTCAAGAGACAGCCGAGGAAACTCCTCGAGGATTTGTAGCAATGACCCCGTGTTTGGGCTTAAATCATTTGTATTGCGAAGATCTTCACATCTAGATACGACTAGCGTGGCGTCGGCCAGAAGACGCATAAGCCTCAAGTTTTTTAAGTAGCATCTTAATTGTATCTCTAGTTTTCGGAAATGTTTATAATATTTGTATCATTTACTTATTCTTGTAACTAAAGGTTTCTAGTTAATACTAGTTTCTAGTTGATCCTTGCAATTAACTTGTTTAATGAACTGTACAATTTTAATAAGCTTGTAACCACTGTGACAATTTTGATGCTCACCTATCAATTTTAAGTCTGTCACTATACGTGAGGACTTGTAATTGGCTTTCAGTATTTTATGTTGGCTTCTATTTTTATGTAGTTTTAGCTGTAAGTCCTCCAGGGTGTAATAAATAAATAAATAAATAAAATAAATAGACAGGATGTAATTGTCATTAAGGGCCTGATGGTGAAGTAGTACGATAGATAAGGGAACTCCTCAACGGTTAACAGTAGCTACCTGATGTTTGGGCTTGATTAATTTGTAGTGATGAGAACTTTACACCCTAATGGGGTATGACTGTCATTAAGGACCTAATGATGAAGGAGTATGATAGCTAAGGGAACTCCTCAACGGCTGACAGTAGCTACCTGGTGTTTGGGCTTTATTAATTTGTTTTGATGAGAACTTTGCACCTGTATGGGGTGTGATTGTCATTAGGAGCCTGATGATGAAGTAGTACTATAACTAAGGGAACTACTAAACGATTAATAGCTACTATTAACCGTTTACCTGCTGTTTGAGCTTGAATAATTTGTAATGATGAGAACTTTGCACCCATGTGGGATATACTAGTATACCGTGTATATATAGCCTTGACTAAAAAGCATAAAAATAAAAATAAAAACAAAAACTGCGTTTAAATAAACCGACTTCGAAAACCAAAACTTAAAAACAAGCAAAAGGTAAAAACTAAAAAGCAAAAAATAACTATTATTAGTTTGTATTCAAAAATAAAGATAATTTCACGAAAGTAAAAGACACCCATAATGTAAATACCCGACATAAAAACAGACTGTACCTACCACCATCTAGAATTAAAATGCTTAACCAAAGTCCTTACTACATGGCTGTCAAAATATTCAATAGATTACCTAAAGACCTACAAAACGAAACTAAAGAAATTATATTTGAAAGAAAATTAAAAAAGTTCCCAATACAAAAATGCTTTTACTCGACAAAAGAATTCTTCGAAGAAAAATATAACACCAAAATTAAATGTTAAACCTACCTATACTATACATTTTAAATATAAATATTCTATGTATATATAATATACTATACATTTTAAGAATACCCACTTACATTTTGCACTTACCCACTAATATATTATATACCTTAAGTACTTACCTATATTCCGAACAAATAAATATGTAAAAAAATGTTAACCAAAATGTAATTTATAGTAAGTTGGTGACACCCCTAAAATTTGCAACGCCTGAAAAAGGCCGTTAAGCTGTGCCTGTTATTTCATAAGACCTATATGTATTACCTTAACATGCAAATAAAGAGTTTGAGTTTGAGTTTGAGTTAGTCATACATACTTATAGGTTACCCACCCACTAATAGGTTAGAAGTCGGTGCCACAAGCCCATTACAAAATATAACTTAGGTTAATGGCCATGGTTATAATCTGTCATAAAATTGTACACAGTTTAGGTAATATAAGGTATTTGTTACGGGTTTAAAGAATAACTTTTGTTTAAAATTTGTGGCACCGACTTCTCACCTATCAGTGGGTGGGTAACCTATAAGTATGTATGACTAATAATAGTTATTTTTTGCTTTTTAGTTTTTACCTTTTGCTTGTTTTTAGGTTTTGGTTTTCGAAGTCGGTTTTTTATTTTATTTATTAACAAATTTTCCAGTGCTTACCTGTGTTGTCCGTGTACTATAGAGTCAGGCAGTCGCGTCCTCAACAGTTCCAGTTTGTAGGCAGCCGACACGCAATCCGTCGGCTTCAGCGACGACGCTTGACGGATTATGTCCTCTAAGTCCAAGCTGATAGAGTAGTCTTTCCTCTGGAACAATATCGATATAATAATTCACTAAAGTTAGTCAAGACTCGTATGTCAACATACTTCTTTCTGTTACCAACTTTATTGTTTTGATATAAAGTCGAAAATCGAATGAAAAAACACAAATTTGAATAGGTTGACTAGGCACTGTACATAATTACATTAAATATGTTAATTAACACAAAATATCGGATCACTTATCTAATCACGAAACATGTTTAAATTAATTAAAAATGTCATAAAACAAGGCGATAAAGTATGTGAACATACCCGCGAAGGGAACAATGAGGTCAATCTGTGTGTTAGCAATGAAGTCGTAGTATACAACTATTTTAAAACATTAAATAACATTATTATAGTGACATTTGAATTAAAATAAATAGGAGTGAATCAAAGGATATAGTTAAAACATGGATTAAATAGTCCTTAAACTAAAAAGAAGAATCTAGAAGCAAGACAATATGGCGGGCGGCGAAAACTCGGAAGTAATACAATATTTTTCGGCGGCCGTGTCTATAGTGTGTGCAGTGACTGGTCTAGTAGTGTACGGCACGAACTCGAACTGGAGACGGAGGCATTACCTGCACGCCGAGCAATCACTGAGTCGCTGTGGAGCTGCGCTATGTATACTACTCATGTACATCGTTACTGACGAGGTATTTCAAGTGTGGCTCGTTGCCTTCTACTTGATATTAGTACTGGCGACAGTATGGGGCACCTTCCATTCCGTCCTACTCGGCTACGTACACATAGTCTTATCCAGCCCGACACTAACCAACGAAGAACCTCTACTGCTCAAATCATGGACGCTAATAGCAGTAATGTCATGCGGCATATTATACTATATCAAATATATATTGACTTTGAACATGGTGGACGCTGAAACTGTGGCCGCCATTATGCTACTGGGTATTGAGACTGGAAGCTTGATACTACAAACTAGAACGTTTAAAGAAGCGATAGTAATATGTCGAGTTAATATATTCTTGTTATATTTTGTGAATTTCTTAGGGATCTTTTGTGATTTCTTGTTGATATTGTACGGTGGGCTGTGTATTTACAGTGTGAGTATACAAGAAATAAATGATGTCTTGTTAGTTGTGTACACTGGGGCTGTATTGTTACAGTCTGTTCTAGTAATGTATTGTAACAATCAACTTGATTGGAAGAAATTCGCGCCGCGCACTGACGAGATACAACTGTAAAGTTTTTCCAAATAAATGTTTCAATACTTGACTCGTTTTTCTGTCTTATAAAAATCTTTTAAGCAATAGTATGTTACCTGAGTTTAAAGTCACTAGTCCGGCATTCAAAATTTTCGTGGAGGAGGTAATTTGCGCATTTTTTCATTATTTCTCATTTCACTATCAACACAAATTCTTTGTTGCTTGGTAGACATGATTGAAACTAAATGGTGGCAATAACCAATAACCAACCAATCAATAGTAGCAAAACAATCAATGAGGGAAGTTATCCCCATCAAGAAAAATCTGGTCATAGTTTTCGCCGGGGACTATAATTATATTCTAGGTATATCCAGAAGGGCTGATGCCGATACGGAGCCGCGGACTTCGAGCCGGAGCCCCGGTAACCCGTTAGGGCTTCCGCGGCTCCGGCTCGAAGTGCAGGAGAAGGAACGGGGTGGTTTTTAGCTAGTAAGAGTCTGACACTCCCTCTTGCCTAACCTAAGGCGGCAGAAGCCAAAAGTTGTATGAGTTTACCTTGAGTAGTTCAGTTGGACAGCTGGCCAATACTTCCAGAGCAAATCCCTTGTTGTTCTCATAGCTGTCCTCCAGGTGTTGCAGGAGTTTCTCTACGTACTCTGCCTCCCAGCTCCTGGAAAACAAACGTCAATCTTGTTTATAAATTTTTGATGACCCAAACACTAGACTTCTGAGGATTTGGGGACAGAGACGATAAAACAGTTAAGATTGAACAGGACAATTGAAAACTTAATAGTAATATCGAAATCTTTCGTGAAATATGGTACATTAACTAAGATATTTACTTGTTATATCCTTCCAAGGTGATCTGCTCACACCACGCCAGTATTTGTAGCGCTACGAAGCGCCGCGTGTAATTGGCACCCGGTACAAGACTGGCGAAACATTGCCGTCGCAGGTCCTCCGCGAACTGTAAGTAGTTCCCCACCTCCACTGCCACACCTTCCACGTGCATCTGGCGCCTTAGTACCTTGTAGCTCTCTTCTAGACGTTTTATGAACTGTAATAAAAATGTTGTTTTTTTATGGGATAAGCCGGTAAACGGGCGGACGGATCACCTGATGGTAAGTAATCGGTGTTGCCATGGACACCTGGAACACCAGAGGCGTAACAAGTGCGTTACCGACCTTTGAGGATAGTGATGGATTCAGGTATTGGGGAGACTGGGGAGGGGGTAATTGGGCGTCCGGTAACCTCATTCACGCGACGATTACGCAACACATAGCAAGCGTTGTTTAACTATGGTTTTCTGCTCGGCCGTGGTATCAATCAAGTCCATTCGTGCCGAAGCATGGCTCTCCCACCAGTTCAAAGATAAAAGCTATTAAATCGAAACGTGTTTTTATATCAAAGCGCCATCTAGTGAGAAAGAAACGGTAGTTTCGAGAACACAACGCACTTATAACTCTCTTGGTGTTGTGCATGGACGACGCTGATTGTTTACCATTCGCCTTATACCATGAAAAAAGCTTACCTTTGTCTTTAATTCGAGTTTTTAATCAGAGAATTCTGCTTAAAGTTGTAATGAACAGTTACTATTAATGTTACCTTGTTCATATTGGAGAGTATGAGTTGCCTGAAGTTGGGTTGTTGTACGTTACAGTTGTACCTCAGGAAGTACAGCACGTGGCGCAGCTCGCCCTGCAGCAGGGACTCCGTACTGCGCGGGGACTGGGACACTACCGACAGGGACAGGATACGAGTCTGGAAATATACCGAGTTTACTAGTGTTAAAGTTTTGTACAAAAATAACATAATAATTTTTGTGTACAATGGGAGCAAATGCCATGTTTTGTTCACTAGATGGCGCAAACGCAACGAGAGTTTTATTGTCCAATCACTGTAATTGAATTATTCATAAAAAGTTAATGACCAATGGTATGACACTAGCTAATGCCGTATTGGACGAAAAGACAAAAGGTTCACATTAGCTCCAGCTGGTGAGTAAGAAAACGACAAGTCCCCATTTATGTAGTTTAGGTAGCGACCTCATCCACGGCGTCTACCGCGGCTCGCTTGAGTAGATCGTAGCTGATGAGGCCCCGCCACGTGCGAGGCTCGGTGCCCGCCTCGCGGGGCTCGGTGCCCGCCGCGAGGGGCTCGGTGCCTGCCTCGCGGGGCTCGTCGGTCCATGCCGGGCAGGGCTCGGTGCCCGCGGCCCCCAGCCTCCTCGCCACTCGCACCAACATGAGTACACACTTTAGTTCCTGCGCAGATGCCTCTGTACTAGCTGACTTGATGTACGATAGCCTGTGACACAAAAAAAATATAATATCAATACAGTTATTTCAATGAATTCTTACAAGTAGTTATGAATATTAAATGTAACTACCCGTCTATTATGTCAAGTAATAAAATAAAAATAAAATGAGAACATTAATACATCATTTACGCCGTTTAAATAACGTTATACTCACAAGTCCTGCAGCAATTGTTCCCGCTTGGTGCATGCCTTCACGAGTAGTTTCTCCAACACGGCGAGCTCGCCGGCGTCTGCACTGGTCCGTGCAGCGAGCAGGCACGGTTGTACTAACTCTGTGCTTATTTGTGCAGTGTTACACTCCGAGCATAACTTTTCTAATATCGCTTCTAGAGCTGTGCTCGCCTGTGAATATCGTAATGAGATCCATTTGTATTTTATTCAGCGTAAAAACCAGTTATATGATTTTTTTTCTAAAATTCAGACTCTGATATTGCTAATCTTTCTAATTATTTTCAGTGCTTCAATTTTCCATGTATGGATACTTGTAGCGCTAATTTATTTTAGATTACATTAACGGATCGCAATTTAGGGAAGGAGAATCATGTAACGGCTCCTTCTGCCTTGGATAAGGTGTGAGGTAGTGACTATGAATTACTCCGTTTGAACTGCTGTTGTTGTTGTCCAGGATCGCGGTAGCTCATGACGACAAGTATTATCCGCAACCCCGGTGTTAACTTGGCATTTAAAGCATCCTTTACGACGTAAACATAACCCATAATGTTAGTCGCACCGTGTTCCTGAGCGCCGCGTCCCGCAGCGCGCGCAGGAGTGGTGCGGGCCGCAGCAGCGCCAGCAGGGGGCGCGCGCGCAGCTCGGCGGCCGCGCAGCCCGCGCACACATAGTAACTCTTGCGGGACCGGTCCAACGACGACAGCGCACTCGACAACTTGGCCAGCGCTGAACTGTCGCCTGATTTACGGACAGACACATATTGTACATGTAAACTAAATAGGTTTATTTAAATTTGAATTTGGAGCGCTTCGCGCGATTGATTACAGATTGTAAATTATTTAATCTGTGGTTTGTTCAGGGGTTAGGATTATTGGAATCACAGGTATCCTAGTCAGATATAATGTTGTGTGATTTGGAATTGGCTAAAAGTAATCTTTAACTGAGATATATTTTGTGAGGAAAACGATAGGATATGTGAAAAATAGACTTCGAATGCCTTTTTATTTGTATTTTTTTTTTTATTAATAGTGTACTAATGAAAAGGGTCCTCTTATAAATGTCCTCTTATAAACCTAATTATTTTAAACTGGAACTAGTGACCGGCTTGCTTAAGCGTGGAGATTATCGAAAGACCACTATTTCGTAAAGGAGACCTATTGTCCAGCAGAGGATTGTCATGAGTTGTTGATGATGATGACAGATTAATAGAAAATAGAGGGGGTGCTAATGAAAGGTAAAGAAATACACGAAATTGTAATAAACACTCTATAATTACGACCTTACCATGGAACAAAGAGTTTTATACGAAATGTATGTCAACAATTTCCACCTAAAAAATAACCATAAATAAATCTTACCTTTCGCATTCGTATAGGCGCAATACTTGACGACGACGCCCAACATCTGCGCGGTGAGATGTCTGACACTGTCCATGTAGTGCTCCAGGTGACCCCAGGCGAAGCGAAGCAATGACTCTACTAGGGAAAGTCCCACTATACTATCGCCACTGTCGACATCATCGCGTTTGTCGTCATTATCGCGTTTGTCGTCTTTATCGCGTTTGTCGTCATTGTCGTGTTTGTCGCCAGTGTCGTGGTTGTCGCCAGTGTCGTGGTTATCGCCAGTCTCGTGGTTGTCGCCAGTGTCGTGTTTATCGCCACTTTTACGACTGTTGGGTAACTGCAACAGTAGCTTGCTGATTTGCACCAAAGTACGCGTGACGCCAAGGATAACGGCTGACTCTGAAGAACTGTAACATGAATCACACGTTTTTTGAGATACAAATTTTCTCACCACTTGCTAATAATCATAATTAAATAATTTTGATTCATTCGTTTGAGTTTTTGGTAGTTCATATGTTAACAAGTTACATTATAACATTTTATTGTTTTGTAATAAAGTCGAAAATCATTTTAGGTAATCCGATATAGAATCCCAAATCACATTTAGAAAGATAGGACGGCTAGACCTAGATCTCCCTGTAACACGTGGATATTACCTCAAAATCATTCACTTGTTCATTCAAAAGTAGTCAGTAAACATCGGAAATAAGGTCTGTAATGGAGTGGGTGAATTAAGTACCTATTACAATTAGTTTACAAACTAACCTCTCTCCAATCTCGAGTATCCGGTCAGTAAGTACAAGTATAGCGACTCCATCATCCACTCTCCGTGTGAGGAGCTGGGCTGACAGTACCACGGTGGGCACGGCAGAGTACAGGCTCAGCCGAGCTGCTTCTAACTCCATCAACTTGCTCAATTCACTGCTTGAGTTTAGTACCTGTAAAATAATAATAAAAAATTTGAAGATTTACAACACATTTATATGTTTTTTTAAAAATAGAAATTTTAAGTCGACTGCACGTTTGTTGCAGTGGTTGCAGGACCGGTTCTTGCAAGAATCCACAAATTATTGTACTGGGCTTGGCTACCATGTGTATGAGAATATGTATGTTTTTGAATGCACGGTATGGAAAATCCTAGTGTGGGCAATGTTCAAAAACCCACTAGATCTTTAGTATACCCAGTGGATGAAGGCGCAAATCCGCTTTAGAATTTTAAATTAGTGTATATCTTCTACCTACTTTACCTAATATACTATGATAAAGGGATTTAACATTACTATGTATCTCAGATTTCAAACTAATCATAATTAGCCACTATGCAGATTTAAAACAATACTCACTTGTATCCAACTGTCGCTTCCTTTCTCCGTAACATGCATAGTCAGGTACAATATCCCACCCACAGACTTCGTGTCCATGGGAACATCATCATCATACATAAGATTGTGAATATTCAACCTTATGTCGTTAAACATTAGGATCAATTTACTTAAACTATCATTTGTACTCTTCTGAATGATATGTAGAAGTAATCGCAATGTCAGATGACATAGGTTAAATATTTCGTTCTTTTCTGTTGGGGATAATGTGTGCTGATCTCTGAAAATATTAATTAAAAAGCATTTTAGATCATGACATAGGTAGGTACTTACTAGCTTTTCAGTGATTATCAAAAACTAACTAATAATTCTTACTTTATTGACTTAAATAAATTATATTATAGAATAGAATCAGGCGACACTTTGCGCAAATTCATAATTCATTAACAACTGGGAAAGTATAGTTTTTATTTCATTGAAGGAATGAATTTGGAGCATGCAGTATGTAGCACCATCCTCCCACCCTCAGATAAATGCTCATGCAACAGAGATACAACACAAAACACACACACAACACACAAAAAACCACTCGAACCTCTCTGTTTTTCAAATTCATTTCTTCAGCGGAATTCAAAACTTACCACTGGGAAAATATTTATTTTCCCAGTGGTAAGTTAAATTAAATTTTATCGTTGAAAAAATTGAAATTTAAGTAATAGCAGATTAACAATAATTAACGTTTTATTGACAGATTTTTATTTTTTTTATATATAATGACAATCATTTGCTTGGTAGATCAAGATTAAATCTGTGATAATAATTAAATATTTATGAAAAATATGTTTGCATGAGGAATCTACATCATTGTACCTGAGCGTAGTAACGCAGCACTGCAAGCAATGTTTCAAGTACTCTGCAAGAGTTACATCCACACTCCGCAGAGCCACTACACCAGCGGGAAAGTTCTCAATGCTCATCATCAGCTTGCCCACAGTGTCTACAAACTGCTTGTAGTTCGATGGGCTCCTCGATATCTGTGACAACACTTGAGAAGCCAGCTCATCGGAAAACGGTTGCTGTAAGCTGCCATTTTTAATTATGTGCCTGTAAAAGAATAATATTTATGATTAGTGCTCACAGTCTGTAACTATATTTGTTTGCAACTCACGGAATACAATAAGTTTATTAGTTGTCATAAATATTATGTGGGTAAATACTTTAATATAAGTATAATTTATGCAACTTATACTGTCGGTGTAATCTTTTTCGAAGTTTCTACATTATTAATTTGGAAAGTAATCTATGGTAGCTTATAAGAAGTTAGGAAGATATCTTCTTATAATATTAATAGGTATAAAAAACAATGTACCTTGATATAAAACACTTTATAGGATGTTTAGCCTCTGCATGGAAAAATACAGCAACAAAAAACTTTAATACAACATTATCAAATCCTTGTTTGCTTGCTTCTGTTATATTTTTTAATATTGCTAATTGGTCGTCTGTACACGTTGACTTAATAAATTCCTGAATTTCTACAGTTGATTCAGCTGAAATAAATAAATTATATTGCTCAGAGTAATCAAGTTTGATACCTATTTCTAGTGACAATATTCACAAAATGTGAGAAATTATTGAATCTTTACATAAGTACATATCGTCTGTTACACTATGATTCATATAAGAATAAAATTAATAAACACATTACCTGCATTTTCAAATAACGAGTGTGGGATCTGGATAGGGGAAAATGCAATTGAATTCTTAGATTTACCACCTCCACCGCGATTAATTCTTAAACCTAACCCGTTCATTGTTACAATAGGTATACAAATAAAAAGAAAATACAGATTTTTCTATAATAAATAGTGAAAAATAATTTGTGTATTGCAATGTTTACACCAGATGTTTTTATAACCTCAAATATGCCTCAAACAAGTTTTAGGCATGTCGTAAACGTCACCAAGACAGTCAGTATGTCAGTTTGACATTTCAGATCAGAAATTATCCAAACGATCTTTGTAAACGGATATCAATTCTGAATCAAAGAAATTGCAAAATGTAACCACTATTCCCGTTAACCTTTCGCATTAGACGAGTCTATCATTAATGAGACTCTAAAATTTATAAAAGTTCATAGTAATACTACCTATTGCCCGACTCGGGAATCAAATCTGAGACTTTTGCTTAGTATAAAAATTAGACGTTTGTTGGCTTTTAGACATTTTTTAATTGAAATACAGTTCTGTCCTAATTCCTGATAACTAGGTGTATACTTGTTGACTTATTTAGTACCTATTAAGTATCGAAGGTTTTTGAGAATCATTAATTTACTACCTAATCGTTTCTGGTAGGCCACCCAACCGACCAAAGAAAACATTGTATTGTAACAATAAGTAATTATAGACAGGTGCAGGTACCGCATCTTCCGGATTGAAGTATTTGTTTTTATGTCCAACTATTGTAACTATAATAAAATACAGACATATCGGGTTAAAGTGTGCCATATAAGATTTTATGACTCTATCTGCCTATAAATCGATTCAAATTGTACAAACAATAGTAGTGAGATCTATATTTTTATTAGACATTGTGTATGGAGAACAATTTACTTATATTATGTTGAGTTTGTGCTTCGTGCTCCATGGTAGACCGCATCGACGCTTATCACCAGGCGAGGTAGTGGTCAAACGTCGGCCCATCAAATATAAAAAAGAGCTTTAGAGTATGTATGAGTAGATACTTAGTGTACAACGTAGACTGCCTCGTTGACCGAGTGTTTGCAAGTGTGACTGTCGGGCAGGGGATCTCGGGTTCACTGGAGTTTTAAAAATTCTCAGTAGTAACACGGAGTCTAGAATTGTGCCCGGTATATGGCAATAGGTTCACGTCCTATTACATGGGACTCATAAATAGTGAAAAGTGGATGTTACATTATACAGTGGCCATAAGTGCCGCAATGTGCACCTCTGCCCACCTCTTCGTGGATAAAACTCATTAACATTTGTTTGTGGAGTAGAATTGTGTCATTTTGATTTCTCTGAAACGATTTGAATGCGTACTTGTTACAAGTTAAGATTCTCAAGTGGAGCACGGGTTCTCGAAGCTGATATCTCCTTTTTTCTATACATATTATAAAATTCGTAATATTGCACGGTGTCTGGAATTTTACCTAAGGTATGTCGTTGACCCCTTCTACATGGAAATATGTAGATTGCTGAAAAGTGATTGTTAGGTACCTACATTTATGAAAGTAATGTATACCTCTGTTCTGTATACCCTTTTGGAAACGAAAAGGTGTAATGGTATGTTGAGTAAGAGTAGGTAAGTACCTACTTAGATACTTTATTAAACCTTCATACTAGGAAACATAATAAAAACGACCACCCATTAAATTTTTGAAGAAAAATATAGTTTATTTCTCATCATAATTTTGTTTTATTTACATTTTTATTAAATCTTAATAAATAATTACATTCTAGACTTATAGTAATCACACTAATGACTTATTCAGTCTTGTCAGCGACCTCCTCGGCCTTTACTTCTTTAACTTGGTCTTCTGAAGGTTTTACTTCTGCGACCTGTTCTGGAATATTCTCTTCTGGTTTCACTTCTTTCTTCTCTTCTTGTTCTACCCCGCTGCTGCTGCTGCTACTGACGTCGTTATTACCCCCTGCGAAATAAAAATATTTTTAGAATAAGTAGAAGGATTGACTTTTGTGAACATTTTTCAATAAGTTTGTGTTAGTAACAAATTCTTTGAGTGGTTGACAAGACACATTGTAAGCAGCTTCAATATTAGATTTACACGATAAAACGAACGTATGTATAGTTAGGACAAAAATCTTAATACAGGTAGACATTGCACAACACCTAGTTTGCTATCTAATCTGATATATTGTTTTACAACAATAAAGTGAGTGGCCTATTTTGATAATGATATGTACTACGTTATTTATTATTCGTATTTTTTAAACGTCGCCTCACACTAGTTAAGTCTACCAATGTAATCTCATATACATCATACTCAGACATGGAACAAGAACTTGAGGAATATAAACACAAGTTTATCGAACCCGCGGCATGTTGCGCAGCATATAGTCGCCCAACCACTACGCCAATCGTGCGGTCACTAACATTGTACCAGCTATAAATATTCTCATGTTGACATTTACGAGTATTTCTTTAATTTTCCTGTTCAAACTTGAGAGACCCGTAACGTAACACCGTTATGTCCATAAAGACGAGCTCTGTCGGATACATTCTACGCAACAATGTCGATCTTACGAGAAAACCTGATTTTTCGAGGAAAGAAAGTCGGCTTAGAGTCAAGGTGCTAATATTGTATGCGAAGAAAGGTACATCGTGTCATGTGTATCTGTACTGCGTTAGTTCCGTCTTACTCGTACTATTTAGTTGTCGAAATGAAATGGATTTATTAAACTAATTTGAATCGTGGTATTTAGTTCCGTAGCATGTTGAAAAAAAACATTTACATGGTTCTTTTTTCTATTAGGTACTTTCTTTGTAATATTTACTTTTTGAATGATTGTAAATAAATGTATTAACGAATGAAATTTAACAGGATTCCGTATGGTAGGTATGTAAGACTATATATGCCCCAAAAATATGTGTTCTTTATGAAATACATGTATAAAAAATATAATGATTGACTGTGTGTGATTCAAGTAATTAATGTTCCGTTCTGATTATTGTACAAAGCATCGTGTAACATTCCTTATTAAGTTCTGTAATTCAGTCACGAAGTGTTATATGCTGCGTACAAAACACACATAACGATTTATTAACAACGTACCTAATGCGTAATAACATGGTTGGGTTAGTGCACATGATACCTGCTTCGCGACCTCACAACAAGCTCTAATAAGTCGTTATTTCATGTAAATAAACACGCTTATGCGTTTACATTGAAAGGTAGATAGAGACGTACTAAAGGTAGTGCGACAAATCCTATTTTCTTGGCTTAAGGACAAAAAATCGTTTATGAGTGAACTGCACAAAGAAACAACAGACATAAAGCTCCAACGGCACCTTCACAGAGACCCAGCTAACGTCACAAATAACAAAAACACAAAAGCAACAAATTGAACAAAAATATTATAGCGACGTGGTTCACAGGTTACACACAAAACACGCATAGTCCTCTATACCTGGATATTGGCACCGACAGTGTTTATAGCACTGTTCACTGCCGTGCTGACAGTAGTCGCGGTACCATTTATTACAGCACTTATAGTGGCTATCAGACCATTGATGAAAACTCCCCAAGCCGCCACTGTTGGGAAATTGATGAGACAATGTAGGGAAGAGAGTAGAATATTATACGTAGTGTGCAAATTGAAGATAGAAGAAGTTGTAGATATTGACTATTAAGTATTATTTTGTTTGAATTGAATGAGAATAGAAAATAGGTACAAGATATAGAGATAGGGTAGGCATGTTAAATGATTCGAAATCTTATTAAGTAAGTACCTAAAAAATGAGTAAGACCACTTACCAGTGTTAGGGCCTCCCTTTTTTGGTTTGGAGTCAACTTGGACCTCCTCTGGCTTCTTCTCCACCTCAGCATCTCTCGGTTTCTCAGGGTTATTTAGATTCTGTAACTTCTGCACGGCGCCAGTGATTCCCTTGGTGATGGGATTGTTCTGGAGTATCTGCCGAATGGGTCCGACAGCGGCGGCTCCGTCAGTCTGCGTGGAAGCCGCTGGAGTCTCTGCTGCTGGTTTCGCAGGTTCTGCAGTTGCTTCTGGTTTGGTGGCTGGTTCTTCGGGCTTAGCTACCGTCTCAGGTTGTGGAGCTGGTGCGGGCTGCCCGGAGGCTGCAGGTTGTGCTCCTTGAGTAGCTTGACCAGGCCTCGGTTGGAAAATATTTACTAAATTATTGTAACCATTTTGGAAATAACTGGCAATTGGGCCGCTTCCAGATCCAAACTGTCCTGGCTTTGGAAAGACACCTGCGTTTTGTCCAGAACTAACGAAGTTACTCCATAGGTCCTGAATATTTGGCCATTGTGGTGCTGGAATCGACGCGCCGGGTGCCACTGGAGTGTCGCTCTGAGCTCCTTGTGGGGTAGCTGGGGCGGGTTGAGCAGGTTGAGCAGCTTGAGCAGGTTGAGCAGCTTGAGCAGGTTGAGCAGCTGCAGCCGCGGGAGCTGCAGGAGCCTGATTGAAAGGATTGTTCCATCCAGCATTCTGCGCAATTCTATTGATGGTTTCTGTGAAATTTTGCAAAGTACCACCCACTGCAGCTTGGAAATTCTGCAAGTATTGGAACATCGGAAGGACGGGAGCTGGTGTCGGGGCCGGGGCTGGCGCCGCAGGGGATGCGCCAGCGCTTGGGTTAGCCGCTTGATTTTCAGCCCTCAGAGAGGCCACTAATCCCACGCCGTCAGCAAAATAGTTCACACCCTTATTGAAGTCGCTTCTGAGTTTAAACAAACCTTTTTCAATTTGATGGAAGCCAGCTTTAGTCTGTTCAACGGCAGGCTGATCTGAACTCGATCTATCTGAGTTTAGGTAGCTTTGAATAGTTCCGTTAAGTTTGTCCATCTGAGCAGCAAAACCGTCACGTAAGGACTGAATACTCTGATGCAGCGTTTGGATGGGCTCATTGTTGCCTTGTATCACATTTTGAATGCCATCAGCAATTCCTTGGAATCCCTGTCTTACGGCATTCTGTACATCATTGACACTTTGTTTGAAAAGCAACACTGTTTCTTGTTCCGAAGCATAGTACTCGGGGTTTTGTGTCTCATGTTCCTGACGCTGAGGTGGGCCAGGGTTTCTCAAATCCGGGGTGGGTCTGATTATTTCTTCATCCGATTCATCGTCATTCTTTAGTGCAGGCTGTACATTTTCAACAACCACTTCCACGGGAATATCTTCTGGTTTCACACGCAGCGTGTTGTCAACATCGTTGACTGAGTTTGCCTGGTCGATAAGTTCTTGTTCGCTGGATGTATTTTCCGGTAATTTGTCTAAATTATCGGGTACGATATCAATTAATTTTTTTTCGGTTTCGGTAACAGGTATGGAGGCGGCTCGCGCGTGCAGCACGGCCACGGCGACCAGTAGGAGCGCGTGTAGTCGCATGGTGGGTGTCGCGGTGTACTACGGCGGCCGGGAGGGGTTCTTCCTTTATACGAGTGAGGTAACGGTGTCCAGCCGCGGCCGCGCGCCGCCACCCGCCACACTTCCATGTTTACGCTTTCCGTGCGTTCCGTCCATGCTAAATGTTTTTGTCATTATTTGTATTTAAATTACCTACAGTCGCCGCTTGTCTCCATGTAAATAACTGCTAATTTGAAAATACTAATCTTGTCTTTCACAACACGCAGAGAATACTTATTGTGGATTACATTTCCATTGGTTTTAGTAATGTTTTGAAACACAAGAGAGACGTCTTATATTCGAAATAATAAGAATAGCTAGTCCCGCACAAGTGCAGGTCATAAGTCAGAAGGAGAAGAGTTTACAAAATGAACTTTCATTTATTTATGCCACAGCTAGAGTTTGAAACTCTTACCATTGTTATCGTGTCAATCAAATTACTATTTGTTTATGTGTTTCTTGTTCCAAACAATTGCTTTTCATTTAACAAATCCTGATATTTTGCTTTAGTAGTAGGTATGTATGTTCTTATCTAATTAGCACAATAAATATCAATCAAATTATTTTGAAAAGTCTAGGCCTTTTGCATTTAGACTTGCTAAACTTGCTAAAGGTTACGTACCTTTCTTCAATTTGTAAATTGGGTAGATAATTGTTTTTATTTAACTACTTAGGTATACCTATGACTTATTTTTACTGATTGCTTCATTACCCGGCTCTAAACGTGAGTCCAGGTTCAGGGTAACAGGTTTGTTCATAAATAACCTGCGATCCTAAGTGCGTTAGAGGATCAACCAGTTTTGCATCGCGATCGTTTTTATCCTTTTATGAGAGACCAACACTAACCATCATTAATGTATGTACATCGAATGAAACAATGTTTATTTTGTAAATAACTCAGAAAATAGCAATTTTACGTCAATGTTTTAAAATTATAGTAATTGTCGCAAGTGCGTCTACCGGGCAAGGGGTTTTGGGTTCGACTCCCGGGTCGGGCAAACATATAACTGGGTTTTAAAAAAATCTCAGTAGTTGCACGGAGTCTGGAAATGTGCCCGGTATATGGCAAAAGGCTTATCCCCCTATTACATGGGACTCATAACATAATTAGTGAAAATGCCTAGCCCTTCGGGGGTAAAAGGCGTGATGTTAAGTTTTAAAATTATCTACATTTATGACAACTTATTAAGTGACCCTCTGTGATTTCTGCCTACTCCAATAGTAATGAATTACCGAGTGCTTAATATAGGCACTGAAGTCCTTTACTTTGGTTTAAAACTTTAAAAGAACAGTTATTTAATTAATTAAGAATCATGATAAGAACCTGGTGTTTCACAGTAACTTGTTTCTCAAAATTCTTAGCCAATATATTCGAAGCAGTTTCCTTATGCCTCAATATCGGTGAAGAGAGCTTTTAATCACGGTAAGCCTTTTATTTTTTTTAAATGAGGACTTTTATAGTATTAGACTATTTCTGTAGTGTGTATATGTTAATTCACTTATGTACATTGCATTGCCTAATATTAACGTTACGAAGCATTAATGATGTCTTGTTTTGTAGTAAGTATATATTATCTTTTTATTCTTTTTTAATTTTAGCGACTTTTATACCGCGCAACGTATATCACTCCCATCGTAACCTAATAAGGTATAAATCAACTAGATATCAATGAATCAGAGCCATGAAGTTGAATAACATTCTCGGTATATATTATCTTGCTAAAGAAAATTGAAGCTAAAATCATACCCATCTGTTAATTGGTCATGGTTCATGCAGAGTATCTTCCATTGAATCCCATACATACACAAGGACGAGCAGTGTCAAGCTCAACAACTAGTAAAAGTAAAACACGAAACAATACTTTATAGTAAAAGTTGTTTAGACCTCCATGTACATACATACATGAACCTTCTACACCTTACCGTTCTTCAATCAATTACCAGCTTTATATATTCGAAAATAAAGTCGCAATTCAATTGTATATAAAGACAGGTTCGTATACCAGCAGTACATTTGTTCATATTAGTCACAGGTGTCTAATGTGCTTGTTAGCATACAATGGCCAAGTCCTGGCTCTCCTCGATAATAATGTGTTTCGATTGATGGAAGAAAGTGAGATCTGATGATTGTGATCGGTAATCGGTTGAGTAACATTCATACTGTTACGTTGCTTCATAAAGCTGCAAGTGACGAAATATTTGAACCCAAATCCTAGTGTTATCAAGCGTACGTCAGCTATGTGACGTCCTCTGGTGTTACCGTGCGGGTGTCCATGGACTGCGCCAATTGCTTGTTACCATCAGGCGTTTCGTCTACTCGTTTACGGTCTTATTGCCCGAATACTGAAACGTTACTCAATTTTAAGTCGTGCTTAAGTATAGTTCTGTCTCTACATATTCTTAGTAAAAGGACAGAGATGGCACGATATTTAAGCACGACTTAAAATTGAGTAACGTTTCAGTATTCTGGCATATGCCTTATAAATGTTTTAGAAATAAGCTAAACTACTTAACGTAGTAATACTCACGATTTATAACACTCTAAGACTCACATTTTTCGCTTGAGAACAATGCAAGTGTTAGTTCAATTTAGCGTCTGAGATGTCATTACAGTTGTCATCACATAGCCAACGGAGTCTCAACTACTGCAGCTTAGATTAACGACCGTAGATAACGCTACAATACAGCACCTTGCATCATTTACCGACCGACGACTGTGACATATAAAAATCTCCATATTTGATAGCAAATAATAGAGAATTTATCTCTGCTTAGAGTTAATAATCATGTTCATCCGAATAAGATGCGAATAAGTATTAATTTTGGCATCCGAACTCTAAATACGTGGGTCCGGTCTCTACAGAAGGGCGATCCCAAAAAGATAATTCTTAACTTATGCATACTTAACAGGTCAACGGTCCCCAGAGCCCATACTGAAGGAACCAGTATTTGGTGTTTTGGAGACATTTTGAGATTAATACAAAAGTAATTTAGTTAAAATAATATATTCAAATGTATGCACGCATCGAGTGCGGCCCGCGCAGCCTGGGCGGCTAATATTTGAATGTGCCGCCGGGTTTTTCCAATGTTGAGACAACTCCATCTCACATGGTTCACTTACAAGAAACATTTCGAATTCAAACATAATAAGTTTACATTAGTGGTTCCGTGAGTAAGGTTGTTACTGAAAATTATTAACTCTTCGTTCACCAGTGGACATTTTCCGCCTGACGATAATGATTTTAAGATGTCATGTTATGTTGAAGAACACAATCAGGAGTTGAGAGCTCAAGGACAAAATGCAATTAAAAGTCGCTTTCATTAACCACACAGGCCATACAAAATATAATATAAACAGTTTTGTAGTTCTAAAGGAGAGGACCAGACTCGAAGCTACAAAATCTAAGCAAGCATCTACGTCTGTGGACGACCCGTTACTAGCTGGCATGTGCCCACCATAACATTTATGTCTCCACAATTTATGGCCGTTTACCATCTGATTAGCGGTGCCCACCAGAATGTTAATGAACTACCTCTTGTTTTATCAATTTCTAGGTCAATTCTACAATTTGTATTTCGTTTTGGAACTTAGAATTGAGCCTAAGTTTCTGTGTCTAGTAACTCCGCATTATTGTGTGTATCTAAACAGAAAGACTGGATGTAAGTAGTTTTTATAGTACCTTTTTTATTTAGTACTTTCTATTGGTTTCTTCTTCGAGCAGCCCTTCTATCTAGTCACTTGAGATAGGCGCATTTTTGTCTTTTTTTTCCACTAAAACTTTCCCTATGAACTAAACTTAAATTACAAGCATTTCAAGAATTTTAATTACAGCAAATTACACCCGTTTTTTAGTGAAGGCTTAGAGTTACTATCCTATCTCCATTGCATCATTTGAGGAATGACGAAAGCTTGCAACGTGGACAGAAGGCCTTAAAGCATGATACGATACTTCCAGTCTTGCCTTCTAACTTCTCTTTTTCTTCCTTATTATCCCAGGCTACTTGGAGTCTACACAGTACACAGTGTCTTCTTTTCCATTCTCCTCTATTAGGCGTCACCCTATGACAATAGCTCCTTTCGACTTACAGAAGGTAAAGAGAACCCTAGGCAGTGTTGTTTGACATGACTAACGTAGGTATATGGCCCGTTACTATCATACTTGCGTATTGACTTTTGCCTCCACGACTCGTCCTCGTGAATACATCAACAGGTCGAAGTTCCGAAGCTTTCGATCTGGAATCCAGGCCAAACCTACAACGGTTTGTTTAGCTGTACCTGCCTACTACTGCTGATGCAAATTGTGACGTTCTTAGAGACTCAATAGGCCGTTTATATTGTTATTTTATCATTAGGCTTGTTAATAGGGAGATGAATATTCAGAAGGATTAAGATGACCAAAAAGTGCAGTCTATTCCTAATGTTGTGGATGTTCCTTGTCTAGTTGGTTTGGTATCTGTATAAGTACATCCTAGCAAGATCACACGTAGGTACTTAAATGTATTTATTTTCTAAAGCACAGTGAACTGAGCAGCCTTTGCATGCAAAGATCATCGCAGACTAAGAATAGCCACAATGTAGGTAACAGATTCAAACTCGTCTGGGTGATAGTCAAACTGTCACCTCACTAGGCCGACCTGCTTACCTCAATTTCTTATTCAATTCGCACAGAAACTGCGAACGCCACGTTGTTTACTGTTTGAAGTAAAACTTTTTGTATTATTTACATTTATTTATTTTGTGGTACAAGTTTTAGAGAAAAGCTCGTGGTTTACATACCAATGTATGTAAGTGTACAATTTTTTTTCAAGGGTGATAATTGGGTGACTCACCCAGACGGGAGGCTGGGTGAGGCGGGAGGGAGTGTCAGACTCTTACTGACTAAAAACCACCCCGTTTCTTCTCCTGCACGTCGAACCGGAGCCCCGGTTACCCGATAGGTTCTCCGCGACTCCGAATCGGCATCGGCCCTGTTGGACCCCATCTGTGGTGGTCTGATGGCTCTTTGAGGCGCGCGCGGAACGCGACGCGCCGTACACTCGGGTATGTAAGTGTACAATAAATCTACCGATCATACATAGGTGAGCTACGGTAACCGAGATAGGTTAAAGAAGTAAGTTAAGCCATAAGACTAAATTGTCTCCATCCACCAAAAATAAAAAAATTTTCAACCGCTCTACCTATAAATAAAGGTACCTAGCGAGTGGATGACAATATATTTTGGACATTCAGTTGACTCAGGTTGAGGTCAAAGAAATGTTGACAACATGTTAAAAAAATAGTTTAATGGATTTTAACATAAATTAATAGAGGTAGTATCGAAAATTAAATCTTGAATTCTAGACAGCTCAATTGATTAGTGTGCTAGAAATGTTGATAAATATTTTTTACTGTTTTAAAATATATATATTAAAGTTGATTTAGAATTCATTAAAGTAGATTTAGGTGTTGAACTTTTGAGTATTTTATTTAACGATCCAGTTCTCGGAATATTTAAGTTGATGTTGTTTCCAAAATGGTGTTAAAACAGCCGTTATATTGTAACAAATACTATATTTTCTAATTTACATGAGATATTATTTTAATAGACACGCACACACGCAGTTAGTGATACTAAGTTAATTTAATGAAAGCGCGATTTTTTTAACAATGTTTTTTTTTATGGGATAAGCCGGTTAACGAGCAGACGGATCACCTGATGGTAAGCAATCGGCGTCGCCCATGGACACCTGGAACACCAGAGGCGTTACAAGTGCGTCACCGGCTTTTTGGGGATTAGGAGTTTGAGGATCGTTGGGGATTCAGAGATTGGGGAGATTGGGGAAGGGGAAGGTAATTGGGCCTCCGGTAACCTCACTCACACGACGAAACACAACGCAAGCGTTGCTCCACGTCGGTTTTGTGAGGCCGTGGTATCACTCCGGTCGAGCCGGCCTGTTCGTGCCGAAGCATGGCTCTCCCACACTTAAAAGTAGTATGCTATACAGTATACAATGTAGGTACTATGCTATACAAACTACGCTAATAATGAGATCCATAATTTCTATATCTATGATAGGTAGTATCTAAATATAGGCTTAACGACACCTTTGTGTGGAACTGCCACCGCAACGGGACATTGATTGTGAACCAATGTACAACTGTACCTAAGTATACATAATGTAGTCTTCAAACAAAGGTAAGTATGACAAGTTCAAACATATCGACCAGTGTTACTTGGCACGTGATGATGATCCACCAGTGAATCGCGAACTCTCGATGTAAGCTGCAATGAGAGACCAGACTGTATTGGGCGAGTAATGCAAACAATATCTGTCAAGTTGAAATACTGTAGTCTGTTGACCCCTGTGGAAATTAATATTCTTGCGATATTTGATTCAGTATTTTAAATTAACTAATAACTAATAAAAAAGTTCTTTATCTTTAACTTTTGTTCTGCAATTTGCCGCTGCCAATCGGAGAGGTTTTGGCAAAACATCCTCTTATGTAGAGGATGTTGGCAATACAGTAATTATAATCTCAGCAGTAGCGCGCAGGCGCACGCACGCTCTAATTTTAAAGATAACTAGATTACCTGTTATCGACGAAAAGCTCTATTGGATCCGTTTGTATGCTCCCAAGTGTACTTACCTTAGTTCAAGTACTGTCATAGACACTACATGTCTTCAATATACAATTGCTTTTCATGTATTAAAAAATAAACCTTAATTTATTCTAGCGATTAAGTTATATCACATCACTCTAGTTCAAACATCAATAAATTATTAATAGGTACTTACCCACATGCGTAATTTACATGCACTTTATCTAGAGTTCAGTGGCTAAATTGAGAGTCGTAAAGGCTTTTAGAATATTATAAATACTTAGTAAGAAATTTCCAGTTTACCTGCACTAACACTGTAGCCATAAAACGAAACATAAAATTGGCTAATATGTATGTATATACCTATGTATACATACGGGAATACTATTTATTGTGATCTAAAACACACTGTATTATGATAGTAATATGGGTCTAAATGCTCTTGTCACCATAATACACAGATGTCCAGGTTCCTCTTACTGTTTGTCCGTACATCTGTTATCGTGTCGAGGTCGGTGACCCCGTGCAAGGTGCAGGTACTCTTGGTGCCGTTATCCGAGGCTGCTACTTTTGGACTCGCTTTTTATTTGATATCGCTTTTTACGTAGGTATCACTGGCGCCAGAAACATTCGATACTGATTACTGTGTTCAATATTAAAGCTGCTAAAGCGCTGAATAGTGAGGCTTTATTTGCCAACGTCGTTTTGGAGGAACAAGGAAGGAGGCAGCTTTGAGTTTCTAGTGTTATCTTACTGTTAATCAAACAAAACTTCAGTTTACTTGCTCTTTAAATGATGTTTAAGTTTAACCTTGACGTGACGTGGATCCACGCGAGATACAATGTATTTTCTATAGTGTCTCATATCGGTGCATTCAAAAGGTTAAGCTGTAACTTATCTTTTAGTAACTACTTATAAGAATGTAACCTAGTCTCAAAGTCTTAGTTTTTGCTATGGACTTTCCCTATTTCTTCTTTAACCCAAAAACCTTCGATCAACTATTGTTAAACTTGATGGAAGCCAAAATTGACCCGTGGTATGTGTTTTCTATTGTGTATCATATACTGGCAAATAAGAGGTTAAAGCCAAAAATCAAAAAGTACCCACAACAACAAAGCAAACAAAATAAACTAGCCTAAAAGCGCTGGCAGCAGCTAGAAGCTGGTTTGTCAGGAGGACCAGTTGTGCCGTTAGCTGGCGGCAGGTCAGCGAGACAGGGACTGGGTCGCGACTCGCGACTCGCGTATTACTCCTCCACACTTCATCAGCTATCTTATTAAGTGCCATACTATAATAGTTAGGCATATATTTGGGTGTGGGAGAGCCATGCTTCGGCATGAATGGGCCGGTAACGCACTTTTTACGCCTCTGGTGTTCCAGGTGTCCATGGACGACGCCGATTGCTTACAATCAGGTGATCCGTCTTGCTCGTTTACCGGATTATACCATAAAAAAAATATCACCAAAAATAACACACAGAAACGGTAAGCATCAGCTCCTCTGCCAAGTGATAATAAGGGAGCTTTTGGCCACCTAGAGTTCCACTTTCGGGGTAACCATTGAAGTTTATACGTTTAAATATACCTATGTCGGTTGTCAATGCTAGTGCTTTTAGATTTTTTTAAGCAGGATAGGGTACCTAAATGATATGAGCAGATGGATGGGATAAATACGCCGCATCCCGTAACACCGGAGTTAACTACAGGAAAGTACTTCGCAGTTATGTGCGCCTATTCGACTCTTAATTTTTTCTATTCTCTTATATCCAAAGTATTTGGGATCAGCCCAATAATATAATTAGTATCTACTTTCATTTTTTCTTGACCCTATCATTGCTTATAAAATTCTTTTCTTTCGTCGTCCTGTTCATCTCGAAATTCGGACTGTTTTTTTTTATTTCGTTTTTTTTTTGAACGTTCACGAACATTGTTCTGTATCGATTAACAAGCAAATCCTTACTAATATTATAAATCTGAAAGTGAGTTTGTTTGTTTGTTTGTTTGTTCCACCTTCACGCCGTAACTACTCAACCGATTGCATTGAATTTTTCAAGACTTAAAGTTAGAAGTCTGGATTAAATAATAGGGTACTTTTTAACCCGGAAAAATTAATATTCAAAGAAAATAAAACAAAAGTATTGGTATAGATGGCGCTGTGTATATTGGTATAATTATGTCACATAAGCTACTTTTTATTCTTTTGTGACGCGAGCGAAGCCGCGGGTAAAAGCTAGTAGTCAATAATCGTGTTTCGAAGATTATCACCAACCAAATGTCCTCAGCTCTTATGTAAGCATCTGTAAGTACTTTCACTGTAAACTTTCTGCCACTTATCATTATCACTGTTACGTACTACCTTCGAATTTTCGAAAAGGAGAGTTTCCTTTTTATTACAATCGCATTATGTATATTATTATTACCCATACACAACTGTTGCATACATATTGTTTCGCAAATACAAAGTATGATATGCCGTTAAACCATTTATGTACGTTATTAACAGTTTATTAACATATACTGGATACATATTTCCATACTTAACCTTCATTAAGTAACTGATTAACTGTCGTCTTTACTGTTCTACCTCCTACACTATCTATTAAATACCTATTCTAATTACACACAAACTTGTTTAGGTATATTAGTTTTTTTAGGAGGTAATATCATCTAATGGCTTCTCCCGCCTTGGGTAAGGCGAGAGGGATTGTCAGACTCTTACTGACTAAAAATCTCGCGCTCATCTTCTCGTCAGAAGCGCCGTACGCTGGGGTATGGTGCTGGTCGAACAGCGAGCATTAGCTTGTAATACATATTTTGTTCGTTATACGTGAGTATACATTCTACAGGTCGTTAAAAAAGGTATGCAATCCAATGTATATGAAACAACATTTAAATGTGCATTTACAAAAAAAAAATCTATACTCGAGATTCCCCTACTCAACAGTCGTACTTGTGAACATTACTTAAGCCAACGAGGCCAGTCCTCAACCCCATGTTAAAATTAAAACACTAGTAGTGGCATTAAGCTTTAAAGTTTAATAAAGTAACGTATAGTACAACTAAGTATAAACTTATGAACTAGGTTATACACATAGTGCTTAGACTACAGACTACTTAGTACTTAGTAGCGAGCTCTCCTGCTCTTGTTGCGGACCGTGTTAGCCAGGCACAGGGCGAACACTGCAGCCACCAACTGGAAACAGATTTAATAGGTAACATTTCAGATAAAGTCAAGGCCGAATATAATATATTAGCCACCACACTCTTCCCGCGGGTATCATTAGGGCTGACTAAGTGGGTCTAATGGTAAACGGAACGCTTCGGAAAACGCAGACAAAAACAAATTTGATATATTATTCATAAGTTTTCATCTGCTTGCTCTTCGACAGGGGATGGATAGACAAATTGATCAAATTTTTAGATGCAAAAAACAAATGACCTCAATTTATCTACGTCATTAGCCAGTTTAATATTTTCTTACGTATATGTAGTATATGTATATTATATGTATACGTATATCCTTACTAATATTATAAATCTGAAAGTGAATTTGTTTGTTTGTTCCACCTTCACGCCGTAACTACTCAACCGATTGCTTTGAATTTTTGCAGACGTAAAGTTAGAAGTCCGGATTAAATAATAGGGTACTTTTTAACCCGGAAAAAATTGATATTCCCTAGGAAAAACAAAAGTATTGGTATAGATGGCGCTGTGTGTATTGGTATATGTCACATAGGCAACTTTTTATTCTTTTGTGACGTGAGCGAAGCCGCGGGTAAAAGCTAGTGTAGTATATGTAGTAAATGTATATTACGTATTACGTATATGTATATATGTAGTGTTACCGCCCAAGCTAGTTAATACGAAAATCCAAAAACAAGTCAACGACAACTTAATGGTGTTTTTTGATTGAAAGTTAAAAGTGTATTTATTTTAAAAGTATTGAAAATAGAACAAAATGTTTACCTCAATGGACACGATGACTATCATGACGCTTCCGATGGCGAGGCCGAAGGTTTGGAAGAACTGCTGCACATGTTCATTGCAGCCGCTGTAGGCGTTGGCGGTGGTGCAAGGGGCGGTGGCACAGCAGGTGGCGGACAGGGGAGTGCGCACATATGAGCTGGCACCCTCAGGACCACAGCAAGAGAACTGAAACCAGAAACAATTAATATTAAGATGTGTCTTGTTCTTACATAAGAATGTTGAATGATGAATGTGGTTCTTATGATGAACTTGAATTAGGTGTAATGCTAACGTTGCTTATTGGGCGAAATGTAACACCCGGCACACACACTACAAAATAATGTAGGTACGTTTACAAAACTAAGTTTCTCTTATTCAAATTACAGTACGTAGGTATACGACCATAATATGCATGTAGTTTTCTTCTTGGAGGGATCATTCAAACAGAAACATGAAAATAATTTTACCACCATTCTTCTGAATTGGGTAGTTTCCAGGGTAAGAAAATTAAAAATCTAATTAGTCCATCAGTTAGATCGTGAAAAAATATTAGACACGTATTTTTTTATTTTCTCGTATAAAGTTACAATACTTAGATAAAATGGAGTTAAGTTTAGGAGTGGGAAGTAGTTACGTCACAACGTGCTACATTTTGTAGCACTCTGTGACGTCACACGACATTTCAAATCAATATATCGTCGAAAGCATTTGATTTTGTGAGAAAAGAAAAAATACGTGTCTAATCTATTAAAGTAATCTACCAGATGAACATTAAAATAAAATTAACTAGCCTATTACTTCGATAAATAATAAACCTGGACTCTAAGAATACATCTCTTTACATGATATGTATACATAATATGTTGTTGTTATTAATATTGTTATTTCTTTAGTGCATTCACTTACCGTTTTTTCAATAGCTTGGAAGGAAACCATGTCTTGTTTGAAGGATTCGTTGAGCCAGAAGGGAACTTTAGCCACGACTTCGTCCAACTTCACAAAGATCAGGATAGCTAGAGTCAGCTTGATAATCATCAGCAACAGCATAAAGATGGAGTACTGAAAAAATGAACCGATTATTACAATTAGTTATTTTTACATCGATAGACTGTAAAGTATAAATTGCGGTAGAAATGAATACCAATTATACCGTAGCACTCCCTGTATTTTGTCACATCATTTGTATTAATATAACCTTTACATGTTAAGGACGAGGATATGATGTTCCCTGATGCAGAAAAAGGGGATTTTCTTACACAGCTTTCTTGGTCCTTTTTCCAACGAATCGTGGCCCAAAGGTTGAATACACATAATTTGCCGTAAACAAATTTGTGTGTAAACTTCATAATGCAAGATTAGCTTGTTAATGTAATCGCGACATCTATTAGCTTATTCTCGAACTATGTGACAGTGGTCATACAAGTAAGCCGACTCCATACGTAGGCCCCAATGTTGGCCCTAACACAAAACGCAACTCGCCCAATGTGTTTCAAGAAAATCGATCGTTCCAACATTGGGGCCAATCAATGTTATATTCTAGATGTAGGTATACGTTGAGTTGTATTGGGACCAAAGTATGGAGTCAGGAAAGCGCTTATACAATGAAGGTGTCTTATCAGGTCATAATATTACTTACAGTAACCAGCATGCAGTTACTCTCTCTGATGGCTCCGCAGCATCCGAAGAAGGCGATGAAAAAGACGATGCCTCCCACCACCATAGACGTGATGGGAGCTATCTGTATATTGTAGTCAGCTATTTGCACGATGTCTGTGGATTGCAGCTGCACCGCTATGCCCAGACCAAGGAGCGTCAGGCCAGCCAACTGAAAGATACATTAAGTTCACTGTTAGGAGATTTCTACGAATAAAGGTCTTACTTTTAAACTTTTATGCGTCAATATATTAAGGTACTCCTATCCAAATAATTTGAGATGAAACACGGAACTGAGAACAATACGACATGTCTCTTTTAAAATTCAGACTGGATATATTTAATGCGGTTCTCCCATCGCATTAAGTATATCCAGTCATACAAATGCATAGGGCCGGTGTTGCATAAAATCATCGCGAACCTAAGCTAACGTATAAATAAATCAGAACTATATTACAATATATTGTGCAGATTAATACTCAATAGTTAGGTTTACTTGTTACCTATTTGTATATGAGGATAATTAGTAGGTATATATGTATTTCCCGTTTCAATTTAGATAACAATGCAAGTAGCATTTTATAAATTCCAAACTTAGATACTTCCTATTAAAATCGAATATTAAACGACACTGATTCTGGTGCACTGGGACTTGAGTTCTACGAGTGTGGGGTTCGATACCTCAAGCTCGTAGGTGGGTGATGTTAGGATTACTAAGAGCACGATTTACGCTTTTAGGCATGCGCCTGCGATAGGTACGTAGTGTCACATGGAGCTTATTAATTAGTTAATTTTTTCTTTGCCATGAGTTATCTGGAAAATGTATTCTGCTTCTTTTGTGTACCTATTTACAATATGTAAATCCCAGTTAGCTGAAATGTATGTCCCTACGGACATACATTTCAGCTAACTTTGGTTATTACTTTAAAAGAAGACGTCAGTTATTATTATTTTCCTGTAATTAATGCTTAGTAAAGTTTTTATTTAGGCATATGATTAGTTACATGTCGATCTTCGTGTAGAAGATACTGCAAACTAAAATTTTCCCTATTTTTCATATGATTCATAACTTCTTTCTATCTTTGAGCAGGTTATATAAGGATTTGTCAGAATTGTGGCCTAACTTGTGTACAATCAATATACCAGTAATTGGAACGTTATCTGCAGCCTATAGCGAGTCGGTATCATTATTATCTTATCAACCTTATCACAAGGTTTTAGGTGTGAGAGTCGCGACGCACCTAAAAACTGTATAGAATTGTTTATAGTGTAAGATCCACTAAACCCTTTAAATAGGGTTCATCCGTGGTTCATCCCGTCACATCACACATCACTAGCCTATAACTGGATATTTTTGATCATAGTCCTCTTCTCGCATGGAGATGATTTGGGGATTAATCACCACAATTGCTCAATGCGGGTTGGCGATTTCCCACGATGTTCTCATTCACCATTTGTCACTGGTGTCTTAATAATCGAATAAAGTGCATTCGTATATTGTGACTCGTAAAAAATCACATTGGTACTCGCTGCTTGGTAGGATTCGAAAACGCACCCTCGTGCATGAGAACCCGGCGTCGTAAACCTCCGGGAGTCCGGGCCACCACGACATTTTTGTTTTTTAACGTGGTCTCGCATTGTACGATCATTAGATCAGTTTACACTGGTTATTTGTAGTTTACATAGTACATTCGAAATGATTAGTAGGTACCTCTTAGACTATTACAACTATCGTACGATGTAAAACATTTTAATAAAGGCTTGCATTGTATTCTAATTATTGAGCGATAACGATACTATTGTAGATGTACTATAATGTTACTTCTGATAGAGGTTCCCTTGTTACTTCAGTTACAGGAACTGATATCTTATACTTTCACATTGTAAATAATTTTGTGACTCAGCCTATGTATAGTTTACTTATGTAAATGTTAGTCATCGCTTTATTGTATACAAGGTGTAGTTTTGAAGCCGTGTCATTTCTCGGGGGCATGTCACAGATGTCATAAAAGTTCAATGTAAGAGTTTCGAGCCAATAGTTAAAAATACGGCTATAATAAATCGTTTAAGTTCCACAGTATTTTAGAATAAGCGACAGTAATGTTTCTTATTGGAGTTTTATGGAATTAGGAATAATATCAATTACGTGTTTGAGTTTGTGTGTGTTAAGCCGCGTTATAAAGCTAGTTACAAGACGGCGGCGTGTAGTTCAGAAAAATGAAAAATATTTACCTACTTTTTTTATTGATTCGGACTCAGAATCGATAGCCGAGTTACCTCCTAGAAAATGACGTAACTTTAAAACAACACCTTGTATAGATAGCCTTCTTCGCTCGTTTGTAATAGATACGACTTTTGTTTATTTAAGGCTGGAAAAATAATCTATTAATCCGTAATCTTATTATTTGAATAGATCGCCTCAAGTTTGGAATACAGTGGTAAATCTACACACGGTTTATTGTAATCGCGTATCATATAAAAATATCGTTATCATTGTTTTCCTGAACAGTGTCGAGTGCAATATAAAGAGTAGGTATAACTTGTTTTACGGAGTCGCGGAGAACTTAACGGGTTGCCGGGGCTCCAGCTCGAAGTGCAGGAGTAAGAACGGGGTGGTTTTTAGTCAGTAAGAGTCTGACACTCCCTCTCACCTCACCCGGGCGGGAGAAATCATTGGATGATTTTACCCCCTCAAAAAAAGGGATAACTTGTTTTGAAGTAGGAAATAAACAACCTATATACGAAGCCTTTTTTTATATAATTCAAGGTTTTAAGCCATTAGCAAGGTACACCTCTCGACATCCTATATTCCTTCTCTGTGTTTAAGTCTAGTTTTAATATCATCACTAGATCATGAGCGGCCATTGTGGGAGATTAGGGACGATCACTGGTATTACCGTTATCAGTTGTAATAACTGTAAGTAGTACTGTGTACGCTTCAATAAGGTACTTATAAGTTCGGTCCCACAACATTAATTGTATCATATCAGCCGCAAGAAGTCTAATTCTGAATAAGGTGACGTTCAATGACTTCCGGATAGCTCAATTGGATGCAGGTGACCTGCATCGCAATAGATCCGGACCCAAATTAATCGCTTCTACCTCTATATAATGTTTTGTCAACAATCGAAGCATTATTTTCTTAACGTCCTAATAATTCTGCTATTTCAGAGGAGCACGATTAGGTCGATTAAAAACAATTGAAATCTGAACATGCGTTTTCCTGCATTTGTGTCAGTTTTTATTGTCAACACTTTGTTAAGCTAACTTGGTTTACCTGTTAGATGTTTATTAATAGTACTTATTCAGTGATGATCAATCACGCCATCACTAAGCTAAGACTAAGCTAACTACAATGGAAAATACTTCGCATCTCATATTCCCCGTATCTAGTTGTTTGTCAGAAAAATTCTAATTAAACATTAATCTCACAACTACCTTCAGTCCTTTGATATTGTTTGATTGATACAACAGGGGTTAATTACACGTGTTCCCACTTTGCACATAAATATAATATCATGGACCAATACTGTATTTTAGTTTTACTTGGTACATAGGTGGTATATGGTCTGTATATGCTTATACGGTTATCATAGTTTCATTAAAATGTCTTATTGTTATGGCCTTTATCGGTCTGTAGATGGCAGTTAGTTGCATGCAGTAAGTCACGCTAAATGTCATTACAATAATGCACAGTTAACATGAACTACAAACAATACAGTTTACTTATCTACGAAATCAATGTTAAGTTATAACAATGTACTACGTCACACGTATTGTTACATACAACCTAGAAGAATATACTGAACTTTCTCGATATCAAATATTTATAGATTACTATCGATCATAGCTTTATCTTTTTGCAACACAAGCAAACATATCGGACAATATCCACATACAAGCTAAACATTATCTCAACATTTTCAACCGCCGCGGCGCCCTACATGACTACATAGTGAAAAATCTACCGGTTAGCGAAAACAGAGCAAAATAACTAAGAAAGTACTTACCGCAAACACTAAGTTCGCGAAGAACAAGATGTACTTGACCAAGAATTCACCACACCCCATCTTGAATGAGTATTTTTGTTAATGAATTAGAAGGAAAAAACTATACAATTAGGATTCGTAGAACAACGTTCGTACAACAGCGAAGTTGTTACGATACTGTGCGAATACCGCACACTAGTAGACAGAAAAACTTATCGACTGAGATAACGTCGGTACACGAACAAATTCCATTTTTTATAATAATCGATAAACTTATGCAGGTATATTTATTTGATTCCTAGGAAACGGGAAGCGGCGTTTTCTCCTAAAATTCAGTTGTGAATCATTTCACTTTATTTCATTCATTGTTTCAATTAAAGCGGAAATGATTGACGCACATACTTCGTAATATTTTGCACCTAAATATCACTTAGCTTAGTATGATATTGCAGTTTACGTAATCATTGCATTTTTTCAACAATAGTGCCTCCAAATTATATAGACATGAAGAAAATGTACTTACAGAATAATATTTTGGTTAATTTTGTGGATAATGCATTTTGCTAGTTGAACGTATTTACTTATCTAACACGAGTTTGGATTATTTAATATTGAGTTTAATTCGAATTCGATAGAATTGAAGTCATAACTCTGTGTTAATTATTATGTCTACTTTTTGGCACACATACAATAATGAGGAATATTACAAAAGTAGTGCAATATATGTATGTAGTTACGTACCATATGTGTCGTCAAATAAAACAATTGTATAAATAACGAGTTTCGTAATTGTGGCTGAAAAATTACTATTTTTATATTGAAACTGTATAAAATTAAAAGCTGCAGTGGACATACTGTTGGGTACTTTCCACAGTTGGAGCACCTAGGAGTGAAGTTACGATTTTCGATAAGTAGTTGCCAGAGGTTGGAAGCGAAGCTTTGAAAATCAGGTTAAGTAGCCTCCTACTGAGAGATCTATTCAGCAGCGAAGGGAAACGAGCTGATGATGGTCTATCTTATCGTTACAATGTGTGTCCACCTATGACGTCAATGAAGTGACGTAATGATTGTCTCATCAGCTAAAACAAATGAATGTTCCGGAACTGACTGACTGACTCGTCTTGGGAAGTGAAAATATGACTTACACTGAACACGTACCCTTATCTTATCTATTACTTCGGGTGCAACTCACACACGAACTTTACCTGTGTATAGCAATAATAGTTAACATTATAGTAAGCATCATCACCATGTAGCCACTACTCAACAAGACGTCTACAGCATCATATAGGCTTCCCCAATGACTTCCCGATAGGCCAGTTGAATTCGTCCTGCATCCTGCTCCTTACGACCATCGTTAGGACCGGCATTATTGATACGATAGTAGAAAGATATTATGCTGACTTTATAGGAAAGATCCTGGGAAAAATCCAAATGCGGAGAGCCATGCTTCGGAACGAATGGGCCGGCTCGACCGTAGTGATACCACAGCCTTACAGAAAACCGACGTGAAGCAACGCTTGCATTTGGGTTCGTCGTGTGATTGAGGTTAGGTACCGGAGGCCCAAGTACCTCCAAGGAAGGGGGGGCCCTTCCCCAATCTCCCCAATCTCTGAATCCCCAACATTCCTCAAATTCCTAATCCCCAAAAGGCCGGTCACGCATTAGTAACGCCTCTGGTGTTCCAGGTGTCCATGGGCGACGCCGATTGCTTACCATTAGGTGATCCGTCTGCCCGTTTACCGGCTTATCCCATAAATAAAACTATCCGTCTGTTCGTTCGTTAAAAAATGGAAACTAAAGAAGTGTACGATATGGGACGACTTTTCCTGGAAAGATTTTGTTATATATAAAGTAGGTCATTTCATAAACATAGTAAGTATTTAGTGCACAATTCGTAATCATTTGTTATTACGGCAATCATTTTAACTCGTCGAGTACCGGTTTTATAGACACAATTAAAGAACAATAGGTCGCGGTCACCGGTGACCGCTTGGTGTTTGACAGATTAAGGACATTTTGTAGCCTTTAGATTTCACGAACGAATTATTACAATAACATTATTTATTTTCAAATATCATTGATGTAAACCGATACTACTTTGAATATTATTTCTGTAGAATTAAAACCTGATAAGATCATTCAATTATATCGTTTTGTTATCAAAATATCGTTTGACTCAGTTGATAGTGGGAAAGAAACCATTTTAGTTGTAATAGGTATTCTAAGTGCGATGCGATAAGTTGTTGCTGGTACTGATTACCTATTTATAACAATAGATGGTGTGACTAGCGTGGGGTAACATGGACAATAATATCGATGCCTTTGCCTGGTAAATAAAAATGAATGACACAAATCGATAACTGTTCAATGATCGCGCTGTACTGCAAAGTGGATGATCCTTTATTGTCAAGGTTCGAATGATAGATTTCGAACAATTCATAGGATAATTGAGGATATCATAGCAACTGTGTGTAGCCAGGGTGTAATTGTATAAAATAATATCTTATCATTTACATTTACTGCATAATTATAGTTTATCGTCGTTTTATCTAATTATTTATCGCTTCTGTGGGCCTGAATGGCTCCTGTAAAATTATGATACATGTAGGTAATTCAATACTTCTTAAAATGTTGCCATGTTAAATTAATGAAAGTTAATGATGATCATCTGTGATACTACTAAGCTTAAATTAAGGTTTCAACTAATCATATATTTAAGGGTAACGATTCGGTTAGGTCAAGGAATCAATAGGAAATACTATTAATAATAAATTATAAGTACATTTAGGGTTAAAAAAACAAATATTGATGGAGTTACACACATAGTCACTACGAAAATAAAAATTAAAAATACAGGTCTCTAATATCCATAGAGCGCCATCTACTGCGATCCTTGCGTACTTCGCAATGCACGTAAATAAAATTATCTTAGCATCACGCAGTTTGAAATAACTTTGCTAATTTGTTACGGTCAGGCGCTGCACAAGAAGCCTTTAATATGAAACGAGTACACACGACACGACACGACATTCTCAACATAATTCGTACAACCTCCTTCGAGTTTGACTTATTTAAATTGTAGTCATTATAAGCACGCGAACTCAGTTAACAAGACCTAGTTTAAGTGGTTCTGTTTACTATTGTTTACTATAAGAGATAAGATAAGCTACCATAACATGCCAGCCACATGGCGAAAAACATTTAAACGCTACGCTAGTCGAACAAGTGTATAGAAAAGTCAAAAGATAATAGACGATTAACAACTCAATGTACTATACGTACTTAGAAATAAATAAATAACAGGTGTTCTATTCTACACAAAATAACATCATGACTTTTATCTCCGAAGGGGTAGGTAGAAGTGTACATTAAGGCACTTAATGCCACTGTACAATGTACCTAACACCCACTTTTTACTATTTATGTCATAAGTCCCATGTAATAGGGGAGCCTATTGCCATACACCGGGTACCAGCCCCGCCTTACTACTGATACATTTTTAAAAACGTAGTAATACTTTGCCCGTTGCGAGAATCAAACGTAAGACCTCAGCTCTATTGCTCAGCAGTCGAACTTACGACCACTCGACCGACAAGGCAGTCTATTCTATTCTATCAATATAACTTATGTTACAAAAGGTATAAATCGGAAAGTGAGTTTGTTTGTTCCGCTTTCACGGCGTAACTACTAAACCGATTGCTTTGAATTTTTGCAGACGTAAAGTTAGAAGTCCAGATTAAATTATAAGGTACTTTTTATCCCGGATAAATTTGATATTCCCGAGGGAAAACAAAAGTATTGGCATAGATGACGATCTTTAGTGACGCGAACAAAGCCGCGGGTAAAAGCTAGTTTAAGATAAAGAAAGCCTGTAAAACGAATCCAACCAAAAGCATTCTGTATAAAACTAGCCAAGTGTCAATGGGGCTCCATTGAGACTCGTTCATCTCTAAAAACCTTGCACCCTTGTATACCCTTCAACTGCTAAGTCACACAGCATTAAGTATAAAGAAATTGCAGTAAGGAACTTGATACGACTTTGCCTAGATTTCACTACTTTGGTAGATGAACGAGCGGCTCCATTGAGATTTGATTTTTTACAGAATTTTCACTTCTTATTGTAGAAACTTGGACATATTGATTTATTATATTATTACTTTATAATTTGTGTAATTAATCGGCGGACTATTAATTCATCTAAACTTGTGATTGTAGGTGAAAAAGCCATACTAGTCTTATACAGAAATGATTCCAGTAAAGGATGGTACGGCAGTGTTTGCTTCGCGCTCGACTTGACGGGGGCCTCAGATTTAAGTTTACTAGATATATAATAGAAGAATAATAAAATATTTCTATGAGTAGTACGACTAAAATATTTACTACGTCGCTACGTCATCGTTAAGGTAATAATCAGTACAGCTTTACTGACGCCTATTTTTAAGCGTCTACAGTATGTATCTAAACTTAAACTTATTGCTATTATAAATGATCTAGGCGTACACATAAATGGTGGCGGCATACTTTAGGAGAGTAAATTATTTTGTCACTACCCATCCCCTTCCCCCTACTCTTACCACGCGTCTCATAAGACCCAATTAAGGGATTGGGCAAAATAGCACTATGTGATAAACCTGAATATTTTAAACTGCGACCTGGAACCCACTGCTTATTAAGAAGCATGTATATTATGGCAAACCCTTCTTTCATAGTCCAGAAGTGAGCTGTCACAAGCTGTACACATCATATCAGCAGCTCCCTTATTAGGAAGTTAATTATCTATTTAATTGTAATTTTACGTCAAAAATTTCAATTAAGTTGCTATGGTTGCTACTGCTACCTAATACAATACGTCACAAAACGTCATGCACGTTACTTGGTAAATCACCACAAAAATGCTTTTTCCCTTTTCCTTTTGTAATAGTTTATGTATTTCATTATCCTACTATTATTAGCATAACATCACGCCTTTTACCACATTACGGCTCTTAATGCCACTGTACATTGTATCCCCCACTTTTCACTATTTATGTTATGAGTCCCATGTAATAGCGGTGAGCCTATTGCCATATACCGGACACATTTCCAGGCTCCGTGCCACTGGGCTCGCTGTCATTGCAGCGGTAAGTCCCCTCTTTGAGGAGTGGCTTGAGAGACGCTACGGCGTTCTCACCTACCGCCTGACGCAGGTGCTTACCGGACACGGAAGTTTCGGTAGGTTCCTGTTTCGGATTGGGCGGGAGGAAACGCCCGGGTGTCATCACTGCGAGGATCGCCCGGAGGACACGGTGGAGCATACGGTGGCGGTGTGTCCTGCGTGGACTGAGCACCGCCGTGTCCTCAGAAATGTGATCGGCGACGGCGACATCTCGCGTCCGGCTCTGGTTCAGACCATGGTACGGAGCGAGGGGGACTGGGATGCCGTCTCCTCCTTCTGCGAAGCAGTCATGCTAGCTAAGGAGGAGGCGGAGCGCGTGAGGGAACGAACCTCCTCACGACCCGGCCGTCGCGAGAGACACTCCGGGCGTCGGGGATCGCGAGACGATCTCCGGCCACCGTAAGCACGGGCCTGCGGACGGCGAGCATGGGTGACTCGCCGCCCGACCAGAACCAGGCCCGAGCGTACGGCGCGTCGCGTTCCGCGCGCGCCTCAAGGAGCCATCAGACCACCACAGATGGGGCCTAACAAGGCTGATGCCGATACGGAGCCGCGGAAGACTTAACGGGTGGCCGAGGCTCCGGCTCGAAGTGCAGGAGTAGGAACGGGGTGGTTTTTAGTCAGTAAGAGTCTGACACTCCCTCCCGCCTCACCCAGGCGGGAGAAGTCATTGGATGATATTCCCCCCTCAAAAAAAAAAACAAAAAAAAAAAAAAAAAGGCTCCGTGCCACAACTGAGATTTTTTTAAAACCCAGTAATACTTTGTCCGACCCGGGAATCAAACCCGAGAATCAACCCCCCCTTGCCTGGCAGGCAACCACTAGGCCAACGAGGCAGATGGTAAATAGTAAAACATTATTTTAAAGTTAATTAAAAAACAATTGAAATCAAATACATTTTTCAAATATCTATGTCAAATATTGTCAAAACAAGTCGACATAGCTTGTATCGTCAGAATGTAAACAGATCGTATGTAGAGCTAAGTTCTTTGGATCGTATGTTTCTTAACACGTCTAGAGTTAAATCTAAAAGCTCTGATTTTATAATTAAGTTCAGAAATACTTAAGCCGTAGCTCGTAGCTCGTAGTACATAGCACGCAGTAAGGGCTCGTACACAAAACTGCGATGCCATGCGATGCGAATTCGCAACGCAAAAAATTACGATGCTAATTGCTGCGATGCGATTTAGACGTCTCCCAGGGTGACCATTCCTTCGACGACCGACCAACCGTATTTTAAATTGAAAACTAGGTCGTGACATGGAACGTAAAAAGAAGTGTGCACTTCTGTTATTGCTTATTAGATACAGGAAAAAGAAACAACGGAGATTTTGGGAAGATAAGATTTTGATGCGCGATGCCAATTTATTCGCAAGTTCTGGCGATGCGACGACGCATCGCAGTTTTGTGTACCTACGAGCTCTAAGTAGCGCGTAGTACGTAGCGCGTAGATGTAACTCGTAGCACGTAACGCGTACTGCGTAGTTCGTAGTACGTAGCCCGTAGGACGTAGCGCTTTAAACGTAGCGCGACGTACGTAACGCTACGTACTACGCGCTGCGAGCTACAGCTGTAATATTTCGCAACTTAATAAAATCAGGGTGCTTACTCTTGAAAACAATCTCAATGTCAATGCAATTTCAATCCAATAAAACCTCAATAATTATTCAATGTCAAAACTATACATCCCTTTCGTAGCTGTTAAAATAGCATTTAGAGTATGGTGTGTGTTATTCCTTATGAATCTACTCCTGTTTTCAGTTTCATCCCGATCCCTTCAGCCTTTTAGTAGGATAAGTAATATATGTAGGACAAGTAGAGAAGAAAAAATGAAATTATACATGTAACACTTGGTTACAGAATACAGACATACAGAAGTTAATAAAATTCTGATCTTACTGCCGTACTCAGAGTTATTTAATGGTTACTTAATCCCCATAGAGCGGTCACCGGTGACCGCTCTCCACTACCTACATTATAGACCTTATTTCCAATGCTTTGAGACTACTTTTGTATGAACAAATTTAGGGGATGAATTTCAACGGGTAGCAATTGTTTTCGGAACAAAATCATTACTGAGGAACAGTTTAAGTAACTGAATATCGCAGTTCGATTAGATATTAAATTACCCATAACAACACCACGCACGCACACACATACAATCTAGAAATATATTTATAGGTACAACCGTACAACATATAAAAACTCCATTGTAATAATTTCTTTTAATGAACTTGAACTTATAGATTATTTTCTCGATACAGTACGATAATATTATGTACGTATATGGCCTTATATGGCTCATACCATTTAACTATTCACAATTTTTAGTGTGACGTTGCTAACCAGTTAAGCACCGTACGTCACAACAAAAATTTTAACGTACTCTCTGGGTTTTTCAATAAAACTTCCCGTATAACTAAAATCGCCATCATAATTAGCAGTAACTCATAGATATTGACAGTCAGTTAAAATCGGCCGCGTAATGTTTTTTTTATTTATAGAGATTCAAGTTATTAGCACGCACACCACTGTAATTTTGCTAGTTGACGGCCAGTGTTAAACGGAACGTTGTGTAGAACAAACGTGCGCGCGCGCTCTCATCTTAATTAAATTGATCGATTTATTAAACATTAACAAAAAAAGTCTTTATAAATTAACTCAGTAATTTTTATTGTTGTGAACAATGGCTAACGATCTCGTGAAATTGAAAATTGTGAATGAGAATGAGAAAAGTGTTGATCGGAGTTTGAACGACGAGGTCGAGATGATTTTTGGCAGAGGACCGGCGCCGGCGCTTAATGACAAGAGTGCAATCATTAGCAATGGCAACCTAATCGACAAAGAACGAGGAAACACCGAGTTTGTGAGTTAACAATTACTTATTTCAATTATAATTCTAATGAGAACAATACGGAAGTACTAACTGGAATTGTCAAAACAAACAACCAAACTACATTTAGGTATTTGTAATCTCTTCGTCACGCAAACGAAATAATGCTTAGTCATTCATGCTGAACAAGATCTTTTCTTAAGTTTTCTAACTTGATTTATTACAGTTTTGACGCTAAACAGGTAGATCACAGATGTTACGTCTAACGAATTCCTTAAAATATTTTAATGACGTCTAGTAGGGGTCAGTGACCGTTAGACAATATAGATAAAATAAATATTAGGTTGGTCTAACGCGTTTACCGGTAACGTATGTAAAGTTTTAAGATTCTGTAAAGTTGACGTAATTCTGCTACCAAGTACCACTGCATGTCTATATGATCCAATGTTCTTGTGGGCTTAAGTTTATGAAATAAGTTATAACATACATAACATCACGCCTTTTATCCCCGAAGGGGTAGGCAGAGGTGCACACAGAAGTAACACCCACTTTTCACTAATTATGTTATGAGTCCCATGTAATAGGGGGTGAGCCTATTGCCATATACCGGGCACAATTCCAGACTCCGTGCTACTACTAAGACTTAAAAAAAAACTCAGTAATACTTTGCCCGACCCTGGAATCGAACCCGAGACCCCTTGCCCGGAAGAAATAAGTTATAATGAACTTTATTTACAATATTTTAAGTACTTATTTATTAAGTTTAATACTGATGTTGTTGTTTACCCCACTGTGTAGTTATATTCTATAGAAAGCTTTGTTCACGGTAAACAAAGTTTAATGCCATTAATCTTAAAGTGTACAATGAAGTATAAGATTTTAATTATTCTGCAACTGCATTGTCCACATCGTGTTCAGCCACAGTACTTATTACTTCCGAATTCTTTTACGCTGACTTCTTAGCATATTACATTGCCATTCATAGCATGTTAAGTAATGCAACGACTGTATCACTAATGTACTTCACATAGTGAACATATATCTTTGTGTCAAGTTATAATGATCTAACCTAAGACTATTTTATACCATGTTAACTGCAAATAAATGGTTTATTATTATTATTACTACTACAATTTATTAACAATTAAAATTCCATTGATAAGTTTATTCTGATAACAAATCCTTTACATATAATTATTTCATAAGCTACGTTTAAAAAAACCGACTTCAAACCCCTTTTTTTGAAGTCGGTTAATTAAATATTCTACTAAAACCTTCTCTTAAGTGTAACAAACACTTTTATGAAAACCACAATCAAAATCGGTTCAGGCAATCATAATATAGTCACGCACAAACATACATACAGGTCGAACTGAGAACCTCCTTCTTTCTTTGAAGTCGGTTAAGAATATGGGTCAAGCCTGTTGCCAAGTTATAGGAATAATCATAAAATGAGATTTCGGAAATTAATTAAAATATATAATTTGCAGCAGGGGAGCTCCGTAACCGTAACCGAAACTATCGGATATCGTAGCCGTAACCGAATCCGTAATAAAAGTTTCGGATACTATCAGATAGGGGCGTGACGTAGGTATAAATGAAACCATAATATTTTACTTTTGAAATTCATTTTAAAATTCTAATATCCGATACCGAAATTATCCTAAACTAACGGATAATCCGAAATAATTTCATATCCGTACCCGTAACCGTATCCGAAATTTTATATCCGTAACATCCCTGATTTGTAGTACCAATGTACTATGAATAAAGTGGGTTTCTTTTCAAGCGTCAACTAATAATGGTGGCAAGAATCCTACGGAATTTCCATCAAAAACTTAGACTAGATCGTACCGGACGTTTTGAATTGAGTATCTACGGTTCTTAATTTGTTGGTTGGGCGAGACTCCTGATTTATTGGATCAGAGATGTTAAAGGATGTCCTGTTTAGAAAATTCTCAGTGATAGCACAAAGTTTGGGTTAGTACAATAATTATGTTCGTCGTCTACTACACAGGACTCAAACTCAAACTCAAAGTCTATATTTGCATGTTAAGGTATAGGTACAGGTCTTATGAAATCACAGGCACAGCTTAACTGCTTAACGACTCGTAACATAATAATTATTAATAGTGAATAATTATTTTAACCCTAACTGATATACCTAACTCATTTCAGTGATCAGAATTCACGATGTTTTATATTTTCTACTGCTGACTGCCTCATTGGCCGAGTGGTCGCAAGTGCGACTGCCGAGCAAGGGGTCTCTAGTTCAATTCCCGGGTCGGGCAATGTATTACTGGGTTTTAAAAAAATTCTCAGTAGTAGCACGGAGTCTGGAATTGTGCCCGGTATAATGGCAATAGGCTCACCCCCTATTACATGGGACTCATAACATAGTGAAAAGTGGGTGTTACATTGTACAGTGGCATAATGTGCACCTCTGCCTACCCCTTCGGGGATAAAAGTCGTGATGCTATGTAATGTAATATTTTCTATTTACATCCTGACCTCCATATTCCATTTTCCTCTCACTGCATTACATAATAACTTGGCTATCTGTATCTTTGGCAGCTCATTCACAAAGGTTCTACAAAAAGGGAGCCTGATATTGTTGTCTCGTTCTAATTAAAAGAAAATGACAATGATGATGACAATCGAATTGTATGCAAAGTTACATTGATTGAGTTAACAAAGAATGTAACCATATATTTCTGTGAAATTATGACTAGTAGTGGTCAGTGGTTGCCCAGGGATTTTCCTTGTAAAACCCCTTATCAAGAGCCTGTGGCAGATATAACTATTATGTTTTTATAATAACTATCGTGAGACATACTAAATTAACTAAAATCGCGAGTTACTCACGTGTATATACTGAGAAAAGCTCTACTAGTTAGTTAGTTAGGGTAGCTCCTCATGAGCAGCGTGCGCGGTCGCGGCGACGTCGCGCAGCTCATTCATGAGGAAGAACCTCTCTGTGGTTCGAAACTAGTAGAGCTTTTCTCAGTATATTCACGTGAGTAACCCCTGATTTTAGAGCCTATTGCCACATACTGGGCTCATTTCCAGACTTCGTGCTACTACTGATTAAAAAAAAACCCACTAGTACTTTGCCCGACCTGGGAATCGAACCCGAGACCCATTGCCCGACAGTCACACTTGCGACCACTAGGCCAACGAGGCTGTATTTAGTTTTCTTTTGTATCTCTTTATATTAAATCAATTATTAGATATTGTTCGCGTTGGTTCTATTGACTTGGCTTTGATTTATTGAAATCAAACCTACTTTGGGGGAGGCCTATGTTTAGTAGTTGACGTCTCATGGCTGATCATTAGATGATGATGATGATTATAATACCTCTTTAACTTAAGATTCGATCCATCTCTTAAAAGAAAACATTACTAGATTCGTATTCAGAGTTTTATTTCTTTAAAAAAAAAACGCTGCTCCGCGCTAAGATTTTCTCATGTGTCATGGGTACGTTTACAAACATACAAGTTAACATACACATGACACCCAGACTCAGAACAGCAATCTGTGGATCACACAAAGAGTTGTTCTGTGCGGGAATCGAACCCGCGACACGATCCATGGCAGCCACTTGCCCAGCCACCGCGCCAACCGTGCAGTCACTCAGTTTGATCACAAAGGTCCATAAAATAATATTGAGGTTTTCCAAACCTAAAATTGCGTCGAATACTGCATGCTGTACAAGTAAAATATGTAGGTATTATATTTTCTTTTATATCAGATTAAAAATATACATGTGACAGAGCGTCTAAGCTTGATGCGTGACGTATGCAACAATGCAAGTAGGTACCTATTGTAAAAATTATATTTTATTGTTTAGTTGCATGCAAGATAGAAAACTTGATATTTGTTTAAGGTACAACTTATTGATATTTATGAATACTTCACATTTCACAATTTTACTCACAGATATATAATATTTCTGTGGTTTTACTCGATTTTTCTTCTTCATGTTACAAAGGATAATATATCTTATAAATATTGCATCATTAGCCAACAGATAATATAGTAAAATTGTGTAATAATTCGATAGATTAATGATTTACTAAACAAATATTTAAACGCGTTTTTAATTACCACATAGGTATGTTTTCTTAATGACAAATAAATAGTTTTGAACAATAAAATCTATACAGATAAATAAAATAGGAGTGTCTGTTTGTAATATTAAAATAACTGCATTTTACTACACGCATATGAATACGATACAGATACCAGAAAACATTGTTTACAATTGTTGTCTGTCTGTCTGTGTGTTTTTACAGGCTAATGTCTGGAATAGCTGGATCGATTTTATAAGACTTTCATTCGCAGGAAGCTGATGTACTAATGAATAACATAGATCACGTTTATTTTAGAAAATTGAAACATATAAAAAGTTATGTTCTAAAATTCATATTCTACACAGACGAAGTCGCGGGCAACAGCTAGTAACACTATTATAGTCTATATAAAAAGAGTTACACTCATTAATTGATTTCATTTAAAAAAGTATAGTGTTCAACACAGTTAATTTAAGTGAAATAAGTATATTTGACTTAAATAAATTTCTATAATACCTACAAGTAGAAAAAAACTATAGACGTTATATCGTTATATAGTATCACGTGTTTTAGTCAGAATTTCTTCACAGACTGATGTTATTAGAGTACATACGCTGTTAATTAAAAACTTCATCCCACGGTAATCAGGTAAACGTTAATCGAATAGATTCTTACCTAGTACCCAATGGAGTTAAGTTAAGAACAAACTACTTAATATACTAAAATAAATGCGAAAATTTGTGAGGATGTATGTGCGTTTGTTAGTCTTTCATGTCGAAACTACTGAAGGGATTGAGATGATATTTGGAACAGGGGTGGATGGAATCTTAAGTAACATATAGGCTTTTTATCCCACAGGAAAGCAATCGAAGCCGCTGGCAAAATCTAGTAGTAACATATTTATGTATTAGAGTTGAATAAACCTCTTCGGGACCTGCTAGTTTCCAGATCGAATAAAT